AAAGATAAAATGAGAAAAGGCTTTCTGGGAGAAATTCCTTTTAAGAACAGACTTGACAGAGGACATATACTCTGACAGCATAACTAGTAACTATTGTAAAGGTCACAATTATTCCACCACCTCTACAGATTACTGAGAAAAACTCATTGACACTTTTCACTGAATTAACATGAACAAAAAATAGTGAGACAGGGATTTCTGTGTGACTCAATGCTGAATTCAGTGGGCTGAGGAGACACAAGTATGCTAAAGCAGATAAGATATGCACCCGCAGTTTCATTGATGTTTCAGTGAATACGTTTGATGGAATTAAACAAACGCAAAGAAACAAACACCATGTGTCTTCACATTCCACAGCTCCAGGAGGAGATTTTGATGACTGTTGTCTTGTGGTTTCATGCAAAACATTTGTTGCAAGAAAAACCAGGGTGGGTTTCACACCAGACAAAAGCAGTAGTTCCTTCACATGCACGTGTGTATACCTGGCAATGAAACACCAGCGTGTGTAGGCTGCAGATAAGATCAGTTACAGCTCCTCTGTGGTTCTTTTCTTAAAGCTTTTCACAGATTCAAATCATCATCTCAGTTTAACTTCGTCTTGTTTTGATCTTATTACCCCATTTTTCTTTGTCAGTCATATCATACAGAAGCAAGACATAAACCCACATGGGGAAACAGTGTGATCTATTTTCCCATGGCTTCTATAACCTGAAATTAAATATTCATTGTAACGTTAGGCATCATACTGTACATTATTAGTTTATTATTGAACTGTCTGATTTATTTTGATTTTCTTACTGAACTGTTCAGGGTTTTTTCCCTGCCTACAACTCATTCTGGGAATTCAGCAACTGCCTTTGCCTTCCAACCCTTGAAGGTAATGGGAAATAATTACTGAACAATAATAATAGTTTCATATGTGGGTGTTCTGTACTGAATGTGAAAAAAAAAGTTTCAAAGACAGCACGCTGTTCCTTGTACGTTTAATGGCAAAATAACAGAGGACAAAATAAAATATTTACAACACATAATAACATGTAAACACAATCTTCTGTACAAAGAAATATACATGCAAAAGTAAAAATAAGTCATAATAAGACATTCAAAATGACATTGCTGCAGTCTTCTTCTATGTGTATTTAAAATATGACATAATTATGAGGTTTACATCCCGGGCGTTGGGCAAACTGCCCGACCCTCTCTGTACATCTTTACATCATGAGCTGGCTGGGTTTCCCAAAGGCATTTTACTACTTATCTTGTTTTTTTATTTAAATGAATAGGCTTTAAGAAAATTCAATAAAGTTAACAACAGCATGAATTTGGGAAACACAGACTCACACCAATAAATTAAAATGACACAAAATGAGAGACTTAGACTGTACAGACCAACAAGAGTCGTTCACCTCAACAAATGAACTTCTTTAGCTTTAAATCAGATCATCTGACAGTTACTCTTAAAAGCTTCAAATAAAATTACAAACCGTGTGTTTTCAGTTTCAGCCACCTCTATAGGCCACTGGCTGAACTGGCACTTTAAAAAAAAGAAGTTTTCAACAACTTCTTCACCTAACAAACATCAGCTCAGTCAAATGAAAACAATCGGAAGAGATCTTGTTCATGGCAGATACCTGTGATCTGACGCTGACAGAGGGATGTGTCTTAAATGTTGCATCTCCTAGAGAGTGGAAAGCACTCCCCAATCATTTCTAATCCACGGTGTAGGGCCAAAATGGATTTTTTCCAGACCTATTGCTCGGTAAAAAATGTTGGCCAACCTTATGACGTCGAACTGAGGTGCGAAAAGAAGGAAAATAAAATCATATCTAGCAACGCACACCAGCATCTACCTACAAAAGCCAAACAAACTCACACAGCAAACCACTTTGTGCACAGCTTGAAATAAAAAAAGACCAAGTGAAGCAATATTTTTTTTAGCAATAACACCTAACAATTTCTTATTACAATAAGAATAAATAAAACCAGACTGAACCTTTGTAAACACTCATATCTGGGTTCAGTGTGCTCTGTCATAACTTAACATGAGAAATCCTTAAAAATCAAAAAACACATTTTAGCAGGAGAAAGAAAACATAGTCAACTTTGGTTTTGTTACAGAAACTTAAAAACGTAACAATGACAAAATAAGAGCGTAAGTGCCTGTATTTTATAGATACACATTTTCATACATTATTTCTGAAAATCCTCTGGGGGAGGGGGGGGTTTGCAGATTTTAATACTGAACTTAATACGTAAGAGTTAACACAATACAGACATCTACTGCGGTACCAGGTACGTACATGCCTTTTTTTTTTTTAAGAATACGGCTACAACACAAGTCTTCATAAATAGTTGCATAAACGTTAAAGCTGCAACATTGCACATGGGAGTCGATGCAAATTACAAGTGCAATTTCTAGTAGCGCTTTGTTCGTAAAGAAAACCCGGGCGGCTGAAGGGTCCGCAGGGAGTGACTTATCTCCCCCAACTGCATGGGCTCACTAATGTCGGGCAAACAAAAAAGTTCATCTGAGACTTCAAATTGAGAACTAAAGGCAGGAATATGTTATTTACAAATAAGGCGGATGCAGGTAGAAATCGGAGAAAAGCTTTGCCGAGTAGCTTTTTTTGCGTGACAGTTTTGGACGTAACTACAATGTGTTTCTCATCGTGGTTTTGGTCTTCATCTAGAGTGAATGGACCCTGCTGATGGGTGCACATCTCATTTCTCTTGTTTTCTTTCAACGTAATAACTAACCTTTGTTTTCCCAAAAGGTATGAATAAAGACAGTTCTGTTTCCTCCCTGTACATGGTTTCATTTACAAAAAGTAATCTCTCAATACAAAAAAAACCAAAACACACTTTCATGTGTTCAACCGAAAGCAGCCTGAATTACTCTTATACAGTATTCTTAATTTCTCTGTCTAACACTGTCCAGAGCGCAAGACTTGCCAGCGCTGGCTTGAAGAGAAAGCTCAATTTTTTTTCTCCCTGCTAAGATCGAAATCTCAAATGGATTCCAACGGTTCATTTGTTGTGCAGGCATAATGACAATATGCCAGGGTTAAGGGCAGGTGGGGACAGTCAAAGGGTTTAATCAGCAGATTAGTCAAGTCAGTCAGCAGCAGCAGGATGTTTGTGGCTTCATGAAGGAAAGGGAAATCGTTGTGGTCAGGTTGCTGGTGTACCTTCCAGCAGGTATTTATTTTTGAACACAGCTCATCTGAAACAGGTGACTCATCCACTGAAGTTTCCTGGGCACGCACAGCACATGGTGATGCTCTCACATGTACCTAGTGGTTAAGCAGGCGGCTCTGTAGGAAGGCCTTAATGGAGCCAATGGGCCGAATGTCGTTCTGGTGTTTTCTTCTCTCGATGAAGGAAATGAGCCTGGAGGTGTCCAGATGTGCCGAATGATGATTCTGAGATGGCGGCAGAGTGTGATTTAAGTTGTGTCCAATGTCTCTGTTCATCACACCGCAAGGCTGGAGCCACGGATCTTGAAGGCAGGACGCCGCAGAGGGCCGTCGCTCCGGCTCGCCCTGAAGCAGCAGGCGGACAAAGTCCCTGGCGGCCGGGCTGACACCCTGGAAGTAGTCCTCAGGGAAGCTGAAGTCCAGGCGGCAGATGTTTAGACAAGTCTCCTCCAGACTCTCATCCAGGAAGGGAGAGGCGCCGCTTAGTATAACATAGGTCACCACCCCTGTATCAATACATCGGGGAATTGTTCAACTGCTCATTCAGTTACTGACAGGATGAGATGTGAGCCAATCTTTATCAACTTGTTTTTTTTGGTTTTACACATTTCATACATTTTGTTTATTTGTAAGAATATTAAATAAATGTGTTTGGGTAAACTCCAACACTGATGGCACTATATTTATGCCATTTTATTGTATAAGTTTCACCATTTCGTTTCTCCCTCCATACATGTTATAACACCACCTTTACCAAAACTTCACTAGATAATTAATTTATCACATAAAACTTTCCTGAATTAGCTTGAATCATCTCTTTTTACTGTATCTATAATTTCAAATAGTAATTAAATTTGAATTATGTTTATTGTAAATGTATAATCTAAACAGCCGACTTACCTGAACCATCAAAATACTAATACTAATACTAAACTGCATATAAACTGTATAAAGGTTTTGTACAAGATACAAACCAAATGGTTTGAGTTACAGACCTAAGCTCCAGAGGTCAGACGTCAGTGACACAGGCTGACCCAGGACCAGCTCAGGAGCACAGAACTCTGGGCTCCCCAGGAGAGGATGGATGTAGGAGGAAGGAGGGCTCAGCTGAGCGGCGTCACCGAAGTCGGTCAGCTTGATGAGAGGCTGAGAGGATGCGTGTTCCACCACAATGTTCTCAGGCTGCAGGAGCAGGGAAAGATTATTATATTTTCTTTATGATTTAATTAGAAAGAGAGAAGAGTAGAGAGATCATAGGAAATGAGGGATAAACAGATGCAAGATTTCAGGCACAATAAGATTCTCTGCAGCACATCCAGCGACCCACATAAGATTGAATTTAGTTTTGGAAAACTACTGAACAGATTTTCACCAACTCTTGGTGGAAGAATAGTACATGGGTCAAGAAAGAACCCATTCAACTTTGGTGTGAATCCAATTTTTTCTTTCACTTTCTTTAACATTGTATGATAGGACATTTTTCATATTTCCCAGAGACTAATTGATGGATCTTTATGGGAATTATATCTATGAGCATGTGCAATTTGATGCAGAGCCAAATAAAAATGAAGCTCTAGAATTAAATGTGGTTTCATTAGGCCTTGGCCCTTGTTGGATGCAACCTGTCGTTGATCTGAAACTTCAGATAATTTTCTGATTGTCTGGAACTGAGCCTTATAACTCCTGTGTTACTCCACCTGACCTGAGGAACGAGTGCCATGTGCAGTGAGTTAATAATGTGTAGTTACTTTGAGATCAAGGTGTGCGATCCTCCAGCCGTGCAGGTAGTGGAGGGCTTCGAGAATATCTCTGAGGTAGAGAGCCACTTTCTCCTCTGTCAAGTTTCCCCAGCTCACCATGTAGTCCAGGAAACGTCCTTGGTCTGCCCTAAAAAGAAAAACAGGGTTATTAATTTACATTCTTTGAGAAATTGATGAGTCGCAACATGGAAAACACTGTTGAACTTACATCTCCAGTACAAGTACGAAGCTGCTGAACGTCTCGTATGTGTCCAGCAGTTTGACCAGGTTGGGATGGTCCAGACTCTGCAGGAGTCTGACCTCCTGCAGCACCTGTTCTCGGCGCAGCAGCTTCTTGTTGATGTGTTTCGCTGCCACTGTCCGCTTGCTCCCTCTCTGGTCGCACCGCTTGGTCACTGAGAAACGGCCCCTGTGGGGAAGGAATGACATTTCACCTGAACACCAGGAATTATTTTGTGCAACCTCAATGCTCTAGATGTTGGGAATTTGAAATCTCTTTCTGTAACTGCTTGCATTTCTCTGGATTTCAGTACCATTGTCCAACCTTTCTGTAGATGTAGTTTCACTTACTGATCAGTATATTGTATTTTTCTGAAATTATATTCCAGATAATGTGTTTTCTTCTTATGTATTATATTCTTCTGTGAGCCATAGACCACTGAAAGATACATTTCCTTTGATGCCTGCATTACTTTTCACCAGTGCACTCTTACCTTCCTAATTCAGTGATCTCTGTGTAGTGGAACTCGAAGCTGCCTTTCCAGAGGACCTCACTGCCATCATCTGGGATATCTGAGAACACATTTTGTATTCAGATTGGGTTAAATACACAAACTACTGGTTCAAAAGTTAGGTAGGGCTTTACTTTAGCTCAGGGTTGGTAATGGATAGATGGATGTGTGAGAGCAATTTATTTTAGCAGTTAAAAACCTCTAACTAAGGTGGTGTTCATGCCACAATATACCCATTCATGCCATACCGCAACAGGACCCTCACCTGAGACTGTGACGCTGGCGGAAGAGGCGACAGTGCCTGCTATGTTTGTGGCAACACACGTGTACACACCGCTGTCCTCAACAGACACTCCAAGAATACACAGGGCTGCCTCTCCTGTCTCACTGTGGAATAAAAGAAGAGATGAGCTGTCATTTAGGAAGCACCATGTAAGCCTGAGCTTTTCTCCTTTGGATCATTGTATTTTATATCTCTGTGATGGCTTCTGGGATCTATGCCTACATCATTGCAACGCACTTCGCTTGAGTATCAGTCAGGACTCAATCCATTATCTCCAGTTGTTCCAAAGTGCTGCTGCTGAACAAAAAGGATTGAGCTCCTCATCTCTGTTGCCTTCCTACACTAGCTCTCTAGCTGATCTTAAAATTGCATCACTCAGTTATAAGGTCTAGCCCAGAAATACACTTATATATAAATATACAAAGGTTTGGATCTGTGTGGCTTGTCAAAAAATAGATTAACCTCACAAATACAAACAGCTCTACACTATACAATACAAGCAAAAACAAACAAACAAACATATGCCGTTACCTATAAGTGATGCTGTAGCGTCCATTGTTGCTAAGTGTGCTGTTATCAGGTCCCCGCCAGGTGACTGTGGCCCGGGGTCGACCACACACTTTACAACTCAGAGTAACACTGTCACCACTCTCACACGCTACGTCTCCAACAGGGATAAGGAACTCTGGAGGAGCTGCAGGGAAAGGAAATATGTTAAGTGTTAGGATGTGCCTTGAATCTTAAATCGATTAATTTTTTTATGTATTAAAAGTTACCAGTTTAAAAATTAGGGCTTGTGATAGGAGGGGGTATAGGTGTAGGGACATGTGAAAGATAATGAGTTATTCCAGCTACTATATTTATAGCAGAGACACTGGAAGTTAGTCACAGTGTGTGGGGGGGGGCTAATATCAAGTCCATATGATGCTTAATTCCTATAAAATCGAATGACCAACAACATTTTATAGAGAAGGATACAATCATTAGACTTGGCTTTAGGGGACATAGACACATTCAATCCACTATTACCAACAAGAATCCACAATGCTATCACTTCGGTGTTGGACCAAATTCACTGAATGTTCTAAAACATTCTGTTACTGTGCTACTCTTAAAAAAATACTGTAGAGAATCAAATTAAAGTTTCTGAAATTGATTTTGGAAAACTTTTTTTGGTCTTGCAGCTGCTGTCCCTCACCAGTAGGGGCGGCTGTGGCCACCTCAGCATGTTCACTTCCAGCACTTTTGCTTTGCACCATTTATCTTTCTTAGTGTTTCCTTTATCATTTAAAAACACAAAAAAACTCATCTTCCTCTTCACCAAAAGCAACAAATTGGACCTACCATCATAGATGAAGTTTGGATTTAGAAGCTGTAATGGAAAATGCAAGAGAAATAATTAGGGTTTTTTTTGCACAAATTGTTGAAAATGATTTTTAAAAGGAGTAAAAGTTGTCTTCACCCTCTCTACCTTGACAGAGACTTTGTTGGCCAGGCTGTCCTGAGACTTGCGGTAGCCGTTCTCCATTTTCCTGCCCTCTTTGTCTCTTTTCTCAGATTTTCGGCGGATACGGAGCGCTGTGTGCCATGACAATGATTTTCTAAAACAAACAGACAAAACAATAATCACGTTATACTCTTTGTTAGGTAACCATGATGGAAAACAGAAATTGTCTAAACTTTTCCCTTACTTGATGGTTCCTTCAGGGAGCTCGGGGGTGATGGAGGATGAGGTGTGTCCTAATACGTAGCCAGGGATCCAGCCCTCTGCTGCGGGGCAGTGCTCGTTGGCAGCCCTGTACACCAGGAACATGCTCTGCTGGTTGCTGGCTAGCATTTGGACAACTTCACCCTGCGCCACACTGATCTCATCCTCCTTCACTGCCACGTAGTCCTGGGTCACCAACATGGTGGACACACTGCTGCTGCTACTGCTTTCACTCTGTGAGGAAAAGAGGATAATAAAAGACTTCAACATGCAGCACTGTTTCAACACAACAGAATGTGAGACTGCACAAACAACACCGTAAAATACGTGAGCAACTACACTCCTGAAAAGAACAGACATACAGATGTGTATCAGTGGCTTCAAACCAATCAAATTCAAATACAAATGTTCTTGCTAAAATGCTTGATGCATGCAGCACAAGGAAACACTGCAAAAACGCCTTTCATCTCTCAGAACGTTTAAAAACAACTGCACACGTCTAGAGTGATTGCTGACAAGTCATTGTATGAGAGAGCAGTTAAGCCGTGAAGCAGAAATTATGATCCTCAGGTCAGAGGTGTCTAAATATGACACGTTTCAGATATGTATCAAAGGAAAGAGTGAAGTTGAAGACACTATCATCTTGAAGAGAGACAGAGCAGGTTGAAATGGAGCAAACGTCAGCTGGTGTTGTCTCGAGGTTCAGACGAAACTGGCTTATAGGAAAAAGGAGAAGGGAGGTGAAGCGGGTAAAAGCCCCAGATATGGAAGTTTGGATTAGAAATTATTGTACGGGAAGTTTCCCGAAGAGGAATCAGTGAAAAGGATTAAAGAGGAATTGTGTTTTTTTAAAGTCATCTGGTAACTGTTAGTGTCTATTCACTGGAGTTGAGAAGCGCACACAAATGATGCTCACAGAGAGAGTCTAAAACAGCAGATTCAACAGTTGCTCTGTGAGTTAGATCCACACTGTTAGTACACTCCAGAGCCAGAAAATCCTTTCACACACATTGCCGGGGAAGTTAGTGCACTCAGATAGCCGTTAATCTCCGCTGCGGTAGTTGCTGCATGTACAAGCCATTCTCAGAGCCAGCGGCAGGGTGACTGAAGGCGGTGGTTAGTCACTAGTGAGTAGATCTAGGCCTCGCTGAAGCCTGGGCCTCGACTTGGCATCTTACCCCGTTGCTCTGGGTGGACTGTATGGACTGTTCACTGGTGGAGGAGCAGGTGCTCATGCGGTCTATGTCCTTACTGTGCGAGGAGTGGCGGTGATGAGAGGGCGTCCCGTGGCTTCCTCTGCCCAGAGAATCCCCTCCACCGTCACTAGGGTAGGAGAATGATCCGGGACGGCTGGTGTGAGAGGGAGGTATAGCTGGGACCATAGCCCAGAAGACATTGCCTTTATGGGCTGGACTGGAGGGGACAAACGCCTCCTTTCCTCCAACTCCTCCTCCAGGGGACTGAGGCGATATCATAGGGGAAACTGTCCCAATTCGAGGGGTCTTTTGGGGCAAATTCAAAGGAGCCACGGCCATTTGTGGTATTCCAGCTGTTTGATGTTTCTGGGTTTCCTCAAAGCCTCCAAGGCCTTGTCTGCCCTCCATGCTGCCTGATGACCTGTTACTGTTATTACTGTTACTTCCATGAGGATTATCCAGCATCCTCATCTTAGGGACCTCTGAGGCTAACAGCTCCCCGTTTGAGGTGGTGTCAGAGAAGGGGTTAGAGGGGAGGGACTGAAGGGGAGGGTGGCAGGGTGACCACATACCTGCTGATCTGTCGGGCCCCTCAGGGCCCGGGGGGTGGTGATGGTGGACGGGCTGGGGGAGGCGTGAGGATGGCTGGGGGATGCGGGAGGGTCGGGAGCGAGGGCCGCACAGAGAGGAGGAGCTGCCCCCTGATCCTCCAGAGCCACCGCCGCCACCTCCCCCTCCCATGTTGGAGGTACTGTTGGAGCTGCTGCCTCCTGGCAGGCCTCCAGTGCTGCTGCTACTGCTGGGCGGACCACCCGGCCCGCCGCCACCCACGTGGTTCCTCTGGTACTCTATGGGGGATGTCAGAGCTGTGGGAGAGGATGAGTAGAAATGTTTCAGACAAGAAAATACAATTTGTTTAAACCTTTTGGATTACTCAGTTCAAAAAGGCTGAAGGAGCTAAAGAAAGACCTCAAAATCTCATGTGCATAGTAATAAACCAAGTGATGTCATACCATTGAGGAAATTGCGCTGGTTCTCCAGTATCTGGCTGACCTGGTGGACCCAGACTTGACTGACTCCAGGGCTCGTTGAGTGGAGGGTGTACCTCTCTAGGTTTCCACTGGATGATCTGGAAGTAAGCGTAAACTTGCAGGGGTCGTCTGCATTTTCCTCTAGACCCAGCCAGCTCACCTGGAGTAATGGGACAGAGCAGGAGGGAAGGAAAAGAGTGATGGAGATAAAAAGTTAAAAGGAAAAACAGACATGTTTGCAAGGAATTGGACATTGTGGATAAGAATCTACAGTGGAATCGGCATAGGTGAACATGCAACTCAGAGCTAGTTTAATTCACTAGTGGTGTGTGGGTTTGGATTTTTTTCTCTTTCTGACTCTTTATTGTGCTGCAGTCACCTTGATGCTGTTCTTGAAGAGGTAGCCAGGAGTAGAGAAGCCCTTCTTTTTGTCCAGGGGCTCACTGAAGATTACGATCTGTTCGAACAGGAAGACTCTCCTCTCCTTCATCCTGGACAGAAGTCCTCCATCCTGGTCTGAAACCATGAAGGTGTCCTGGAGGATCAATCTGCCCTGAGCCACAATCTTACCCTGAAGAAGTGAAAGTAACAGTGGAGCAGTGAGTCAGAGGACAAGCACAGAGACTCTCTACTACTTTCCACAACTTGGACAAAACAAACAACCTTGTCTATTAAAAATGAGAGCACACTGACACCTAGTGGATATAGGATGACATTTTAAATTGACCTTTGCAGAATAAACAATTAACATAACTACATTGTTTTATTCTGCACACACACACACAGGCGAGAATAAAGAGCCAACTTACATCGAAGCCTTGAAGGCGACCAACATTCATCATGTCATTGCAGCGTTTGGGGACCACACACATCACCTCCACAGCTTTCTAAAGGAGAATAAAAGAGTAAAACAAACCGTTAGGGACACAAAAGAAGAAAAGTACTGAGCCTATTTAAATGATTGACTGTATATAGTCACTTCAATAAATGCACCATGGTAGCTTTTCTCACCTCCAGCTCCAATGTGTCCACTCCAGCCTTCTTAGAAATTTTGTGAAGATCCTGAGAATGAGAAATGTTGATCAATAAGTTCAACATGGGCAATGTTTGTTGATTGTTTGATTAAATTGTTTGATTGAGTGTAAGAGCCCTTTCTGGAACAAACAGATCCTTCCACTGGAATTCTGCCTCTGTGTATCCTCAAATCTTCTTCAACACAGTCTGCTACGTTAAAACGCTTCAGTATATTTACCTTCAGCAGCAGCTGGTACTTCATTATGCGCTGAACAGGTTTGATGAGCAGGTCCGTGATCTGTAGTCTGTGGCCAAGTCGCTGCTTAAGGTCCTAAATGAAAAAAAACAGAGAAACTAAATAGTGATACAACACAGATAATCTGTTTACAAGTAAAATAAGATATGATATACACAGGTGTGGATGGTAAATGGTTTAATAGTCTTACTTCAAAGTAAGTGTCAATGTACTCTGACACGATGTGCTCAGATTTAGGTTTGTTCTGACAGTACACGATGTACATGTGTAGCCTCCGCTCCTGTGGTTAAAACAGAGGCAGGAAACAAAGTCAGCTTTATAAACATGAGAAGAAAAACATTATTTCCACACTTTCTTTGCTATATTCAAGATGTATTTATAATGCAAGAAAATACCTGTTTGACGAACAGAGTAGCCAGACGGTCGGGATCCTCCAAACACCTCTCAAGTTCTCCCAAGAAAAAACTTATAAAGACAAAGAGAGGGGAAAAAAACCCAAGTGATTTAACCTGACAAGGAACATGGTGTTTTTATTCTTGAGCAGATAATATAATTCAATTATTCTAAAATTGCTTCACAGGAATCAGACACCGGGTTTCTGTACCCCAACCCAGGTGTAACACTCTTTCACATGTGATAGGAGATTAGCAGCTTATTAATTTTTATTTGTAGGAGAATTCCTGGGGCATTCTATTAGGAGACTGTCCACATACTCTTTGTGCCAGTCATAGATCTGATGGATGTTTCCAAAGACGATCTTGTCTTTTCCTCTCATGTCGTCTGGAACTCCTTCCTCCTTCATCCTGCTCATGTAGCCCTGCAGGGAAAAAGTCAATTTATTTGTAAAATATGCAGCAGACACTGATTAAAAAAACAATATTTGAAAGTTTAGATTTTATGTCTCAATCTCTTGAATTTGTTTTACCTCCACCACTGATCCCAGGTCCCTGACATAGTCTCTCTCAGTCTCCACCAGCTCCAGAAGCACATAACTGAGCGATAGAAAACAGAAATTGTCACCGTGTGACACAAACGCAACACACTCAGCCGTGGACCAACATCAGCAATGCTCCATATAAGCACAAAAATGAAGACAAACGTGATGAAGAGTCTAAGCAGGTTATTGTTTATCGAAGCACAAACCAGACACAGGACCATAACTCACTGTCTCCTCTTGAGGAAGCCAGACTTGCGCTCGTCCAACTCGTCGATGGGCGAGGAGGAGGAGAGGAGGGAGTTGTCAGAGGGGTTGAGCGAGGGGGAGCTGCTGTCGCCCTGCTCCACTGACAGAGAGCTTGGACGATCTTCCAGAGACTGAAGAAAGAAAAGAGGGAGAGTCGAAATCAGATACAGAGAGTATTTTTACAGTATGTGATCTCCTCTTCATTGTACAATGACGTTTCAGGGCTGGATTAAAGAAAAAAGATTTCTGATAT